CTACCTTGGTAGCATAGGTTGGAAGGGGGGTGATTGGTGCCAGCCCCTTTGGAGGACATTTCTGCTTCATAGCCTGCTGGTAAGTTGTCCAAAATGGCACTGGCATGCTTGATGGAGCCCAGCCACAGGTACACGTCGACTTTTGCTTGCACAGACCAACCAGCCAGTCGTTTTCCAGGAGGCTGGAGAAAGGTTACAAAAAAAGACTGACTTGTTAGCAGGAGATAATTATAGGCCTCCCCTTTGTCCTTCCTGGAGACACACCTGGACATAGGTTCAGAGAGCAGCTCTCCAGAGCTCCTCTTAAATCAAAATAAAGGCAATGGCCCCAATTGCCTTGATGCACAACTCCAGAGGAGGATCCAGGTTTAGTGGGACCTAAAGCTTAAACCTGCACTGTGATAAGCTCTTCCAGGCCATGGGTCATTTAAACTTCATAGGTAGTAGGTGCATTTATTGGCCCCATTTGTTAAATGGGGAAATGCAGACTCAGAGAGATAAAGTAAGTTGCCTACGATGGCTCAGTTTTTAAGTGACAGAGACAAAAGTCAAAAATAGAAGAGATGATTCCAAATTTGGACTCTAGGCTCTGCACCCCACAGCCTATCACTCAGAGCTGAAATCTTCCTGGAACTTCCAGCTGTCTGGAGTTCCAACTTGACTTTTTATCTCTTTGCTTCATTTAAAAGAATCCTAGTATTTCTTCAATACGTCAGGACTCTGTGTACTTAGAAGAACCTACCCAGCCTACCATGCGCTTTCTTCCTGGCTAAACACCTCCATCACTTCCTCATGCAGTGTGGTCTCAGATTCCCTTACCACTCTGCTCTCTCTTTTGAATGTGCTCAGATTTGTATTTTCATTTACGTTTGCCTTAATTTCTATGTTTATGTCTGTATTTGTGTGGGTAGTATGAGTATGTGCAGGGAGTATGTGCATGTCCACATGTATGTGTGTACATGTGCCTGTGTGTACACGTACTTATGTGTGTGTATATGCCTGCATGGGGGCATATACACACACATACAGAATCTGAAGGACACAACAAAATGTAGGCAGTGTGACTCCTTTATTTCTCAGTCACCAGGATTAGGGTGCTTCCTTACCCCTGTAAGGAGTCCCAGGCCCCAGTCTTGGCTGTTGCCGGTGAGGTCATCATTCTGAGAGTAACCTACGGCACTTAACTGCTGCCTCTCCAAATGCTGTGAGCTCTAAGTGCCTCTTCTTGGTGTTTCTTAGAATTTCCTATGAGTAATTTCTTTCTTTTTGTTTTTTTAACATCACTTCCTTTCCATAGAGGGTCAGAAAATCCTGTTATGAAAGGCCACAACTTGCTCTGACAATTTCCAAGGTCCCCATGGAGAGCCTCTGAATCCGAAATTGAGCATGGCTGTTTGCCTTTTTACTGTGCTCTGCAGGTGCCATAAATGGATTTTCAGCAACTCAGTTTAGCAATACTGCAAATGCTGCTAGGCCCTTGCTAAGGGAGTGGGGCCAGAAGACTAAGTCCTGGCCCTCCCCTCCAGGGCTCACAAAGAGGCCACTCCACTTGGCCACTTATCTTCACCTACTCAAATGCAAAGAGAGAACGTGCTAAGGAAGCAGAGAAGTAGCAGCAGCGATTTCCATCCTTCCTTTAAGATTCAAATATTTAGCTGGGCTTTAATGGGCACTTTGGAGTTGGATCCCAGGAAGAGAGGAAACTGTGTGAAAAAAGATTTGGGTAATATGAGCTAATATTTAGCAAGTGCTTACTCTGTGCCAAGAACGCTGCTAAGAGCTTTCAGGAAAGAAGAATCACAACCAGTGAGCATGAGAGCTAGACAGAGAATGACACAGATGAAGCTGAAGAATCCTGCTCAGTATGTGGAGGAGCTGGGACTGTAATCTCAAAGCAGTAGGATGCCAGTATTTGCTGAGCTCAAAAAAAAAAAAAAAAACAAATAAGTTTATTTTGTTTTTGGAAACACATTCAACAACCTGTAATTTATAAAGTTATAATAAGACAGATAATCCTCAACTCATCACTTCTCTAATAATAATAGCCAAAATGTATGGAGGAATACATTTGTTCAATAAAATTAATATGTACTGAAAGCCTAAGATTATTTTCCTGGAATAAAAGCAATCTCTCTGCCATTTGTAGGCATCACTAAGATATCAATTCATAAAGATAAGAACATTGTCTGTTGCTTCATTGCCATGTTCCCAGTGCCTAAAAGAGTTCGTGGCATCCAGGAAGCATGTGGTAAATATATGTTGAGTGGGCCAGGCACGGTGGCTCACGCCTGTAATCCCAGCACTTTGGGAGGCCAAGGCGGGCAGATCACAAGGTCAAGAGATCGAGACCATCCTGGCCAACATGGTGAAACCCCATCTCTACTAAAAATACAAAAATTAGCCGGGCATGGTGGCACATGCCTGTAGTCTCAGCAACTCAGGAGGCTGAGGCAGAAGGATCACTTGAACCTGGGAGGTGGAGGCTGCAATGAGCCAAGACTGCATCACTGTACTCCAGCCTGGCAAGAGAGCAAGATTTTGTCTCAGGAAAAAAACCCCACAAATAAATAAATAAATAAATAAATAAATAAATAAAGAGAGAGAGAGAGAGAGAGAGAGAGAGAGAGAGAGAGTGAATATCCTTTATTTACTTTTCTAACAATAATATTTAACACATGTTGAGCACTTACATCGTTCTAGGCCCTGGTCTAATGTTTCTCTCTTCACATAGAATGTTCTATTGCATGCAAGCTATTACCAAATCACAGGTTATCATTCCTCTTCACAGTAACTTTATTAAGTAGCTACTTTTACAATGTGTTTTTTAAAGGTGAGGAAGCAGAGGTTCAGAGAAGTTAAGACAACCGTCCAAGGTCACAGAGCAAGGCAGGGTCAGAGCCCAGACTCTTAGCCAATGCTCCTCACACACTGCAGTGAGCACATGGATTGCCAGGGCATCTGGTTAAAATGCAGGCTTGAATTCAGCTGGTCTCTGGGACAGTTTGAGAATCTGATTTCTTCTCATGGATGCTGATGCTGCTAGTCTACAAATCTCAGGTTTAAGTATTTGGGCAGTAATGTTCGTAACTTCATGTGCTGCATTGCCCTTCATGTGCTGCAGGGTTTTCTTTTCTCTTCTTTTTATCCATCCCTCCACTACCAATAGGTCTCTGTCACCCAGGCTGGAGTGATGTGGTACAATCTTAGCTCACTACAAACTCTGCCTCTTGGGCTCAAGCCATCCTCCCACCTCAATCTTTGAAGTAGCTTGGACCATGGGTGGGTGCCACCACACTGAATTTTTGTATTTATCTATTTTTGGGGGGTTAGAGATGGGGTTTTGCCATGTTGCCCAGGCTCATCTCAAACTCCTAGACTAAAGCAATCTGCCCCTCTTCAGCCTTCCAAAGTGCTAGGATTACAGGCATCAGCCACTGATCCTGTGCCTGTGGCCTGTGTTTCTTTTCTTTTTCTTTTCTTTTCGAGACAGTCTTGCTCTGTCACCCAGGCTGGAGTGCAGTGGTGCAATCTCAGCTCACTACAGCCTCTGCCTCTCAGGTTCAAGGCTCAAGTGATTCTAAGCCTTAGTCTCCCCAGTACCTGGGATTGCAGGCATGTGCCACCACACCTGGCTAATTTTTGTATTTTTAGTAGAGTTGGGGTTTCACCATGTTGGCCAGGCTGATCTTGAACTCCCAACCTCACGTGATTCACCTGCTTCAACCTCCCAAAGTTCTGGGATTACAGGCATGAACCACCATGCCAGGTCAGCCTTGTGTTTCTTAAAGTAAAACAAAGCAATGACAAAAAGCATCATTCATTTCTACTGCTACTAAACAACATGTGTGTATGTAAACTCATGGTTAAAAATCAAAGACTCAGCTAAAATCTTGTAAAAGTGTTCCACAAAGACCATTGCTGTACTCCTAAAGTTAGCAGCTTGTGCATTTTTAAAAAATATATATACAAATTGGAATTGCTGGCAAATTATAGAGTGTCTCACTTAAGTATCTAAGTTGGATTCATTTAACATTATTGAGACCCTTCCCAGGTGTTTTCAGAAACAGAATCCCATTTTTAATTTCACATGTACTTTCAGCCTAGTTGCATGTCTGCCCCTGCCTTCTCCCTACTGGGGCTCAGGAAACAACACCCCAAAATGAAAGCCTCAGAAGAAGCTTCAGAAGCAAAAGTGTTTCTCTGACCTTCTCCTGCCCTCCTGTCTCTCAGTCCCATTCACCCCCAGGTTAGCTACAGAAACTAGAATCTCTCTTCCCTCATGCAGATAATAGAAACCAGAACCCCATTTCCCCAAAGCCAGCCATAAAAAACAAAAATATAACTCTAACTTTCCATCTGCCTTTCTACGTAAAAATTGGCCATAAAGAAATTATCTGACCTACCTTGTCTGACTGTAGCCCATTCCAGAGAGGGCTCTCCCCAACACCCAGAAGGAAAGAATGCTACAGAGAGGCCATGAAGCAGCTGGACAGACAGGCCTTGCTGGGTTTCCACACTTAGTCCACTAGCGTTAGATTATAACTTTTTAATTGAATCACATTTCTACAGGTCCGTCCATACTTTGTTGAACCTAAGCATAAAAATGGAAAATTTCCCTGTTTTGGGATCTTCCTTCTGAAGACTCCCACATTAATGTGTATATTTAATATACACATTAAAAAATCGGTACACCTTTTCTCCTATTAATCTACCTTTTGTGAATCGATTTTTCAGTGAAGCTTCAGAGGGCCAAAGGAAAGCTCTCCCTTGCCTCCTACACCTGCTTCCCCTTCCTCTCCTTCCTCTCTCTTGTGGTCCTGAAGCCTCACCAACCACAGCAAGCTATTTCCCTATGAGAGTAGCATGGAAAGGGAGGAGAAAAGAAAACACAACAGAGGAAAAACAATTAAGAATGCAAAAATGCATTTTAAAAAGCTGTGATCATCCATGTATAAATATTGCATGAGAAAGAGTGCTAAAGGCTCAGTCTCCCTGGTGTCTCCCACGGGGTCCTGGTGCAACCCAGCTACCTCAAAATGAAGAAGTAGTCTTGGTGAGTGAGAGAAAGGAGAGAGGCTCATGTGAACTGTGTTGGAGTTGGTCAATCAGTGTTAGTGAAAGTGAGGTTTGTTTATGTGGTAGAAGTTTTGCTCTGTGGCAGGACACAGAAAGGTGCTTTTTT